GCGGGGCCGGGGGGTGGGGACATTTGTGTGCCCGGGGGTGGGGCTCCCCCAAGCGCCGCGCGCCCGGGGCAGGGCCCCCCCATAGCCACGCGCCCGGGGCCGACGCTCCCCGCAAGCGCCGCGCCATGTGCCCAGGGCCAGGCCAGCCCCGAGCACCTGGCAGGTGCATGCAAATGCCCCCGCGGGTGCCATGGTGCCCGCGGGCACCGTGTTGGGGACCACGGTCCTAGACTATTAGAAAAAAGGCAGATATAGTACCCATCTTTAAAAAAGGGAAGGAGGAGAATCTGGGAAAACTACAGACTTATCAGCCTCTCCTCGATTCGCAGATATATCATGAAGCAGAGCCTCAAGGAATCCATTTTGAAACACACAGAGGAGAGGAAGGTGCTCAGAACAGTCAACAAGGATTCACCATGCCTGACTTTCTGATTGCCTTCTATGTTGAGATAACTGGCTCTGTGGATATGGGGAAAGCAGTGGACATGATGTACCTTGGCTTTAGCAAAGTTTTTCATATGGTCTCCCATAATACTCTTACCAGCAAGTTAAAAAGGTATAGATTGGATTAAGGGACTACAGGGTGGATAGAAAGCTGTTTAGATCATTTAGCTCAGTGAACAGTAATCAACAGCTTGAGGTCTACTTGATACCTGCTATCAAGAGGAGTGCCCCAAGGGTCAGTCCTGGGACCAATTTTGTTCAACATCTTCATGAATTGTCTGGATGATGGGACGGATTGCACCCTTAGTGAGTTTGCAGGTGACACTATGCTGGGGGAAGAGGTAGATGTACTGGAGAGTAGAGATAGGGTCCTACACTGGCATAGACAAATTGAGCTAAAAGAAATCTTTTAACATTCAACAAGAATAAGTGAAGAGTCCTACACTTAGAACAAAAGAATCACACTGATACAGGGTAAGGACCGACTAAGCGGCAGCTCTGCAGAAAAGGATCTGGGGATTACAGTGGATGAGAAGCTGGATATAATTCAACAGTGTTGTCCGTGTTGCCAAGAAGACTAACAGCATCTTGGGCTGCATTAGTAGGAGCATTGACAGCAGATCAAGGAAAGTGATTACACCTCTCTATTTGGTATTGGTGAAGCCACATCTGAAGTACTGCCTCCAGTTCTGGGGCCCCCACTACAGAAAAGGTGTGGCCATACTGGAGAGAGTCCAGTGAAAGGCAACAAATGATTAGGGGGCTGGAGCACATTACTTATGAGGAGCAGCTGAGGGAAATGGGCTTATGTAGTCTGCAGAAAAGTGAGAGAGGACTTGAGGGTAGCCTTCAACTACCTGTAAGGGAGGGCTCCAAAGATGATGGAGCTAGGCTGCTCTTTGTAGTGGCAGATGACAGAAGCAGCAGCAATGATCTCAAGTTACAATGGGGGAGGTCTAGGCTGGATATCAGGAAAAACAACTTCATAAGGAGAGTGGTGAGGCACTGAAATGATTTAACTAGGGAGGTGATGGAATGTCCATTCTTAAAGGCTTGTAAGGCCAGGCTTGCCAAATCCCAGACTGGAATGATTGAGTTGGGGTCTGTCGTGCTTGGATCAGTCAGTTGGACAAGATGGACTCCTGGACTCTCTTCCAACCCTAATTTTCTGTGATTCAGTCACAGAAACGAGAAGTTGGTAGCATTGCCTTGAGACAGCAGTTAAGTTAAATGCTGGCACAAGCTTCTACCCCACCGACCTCAATCCTAACCATGCCATTCCAGTCCCAAGTCTCTATGGAACACACAGTCTGACAAACAAGCCAATTTATTTCCAATAGCATGGTGATCTTGAGACAGAACAAGGAGTAATAACCCAGACATGGTAATTTGGGAATGAATTTGATCTTCTATCTCCAGAGATGCATTCAACTCCTCACCTCTGAGCACAACACACGTCTTATCCAGGTGCCGGGCAATCTGGGATTTGGTTTGGTTTTTTTAAAGTGAAGATGTAGATTACTTATCCAGTCTCCAAAGCTGTTCTACAAGTCTGCAGGATCCTGGCCTGCAACATAAAACAGTTTAATATATACTTTCGGGGGGACAGGGACGGAGACGACACAGTTAAATCACCTTTAGTTTTCAATACAGCTGCATTAATAATACTGTAGCATTACCTAACATTAATTTGTATTTTGATATTAATTAAGATCTTACCATCCCTTCTTCACTCCTGTGTTATATAAGAGTTCAGACTAGATAAAAGGTATGTAAAATCCCGGTTATTTAGTTAACCAGTTATAATTTGATCAACTATTTACCAATTAGATGGGGCTTGCTCTGCCCAGGCTGGAGAATCCCCCACCCTCAGTTAACTGGTTAACTAGTCACATTCCTACTAGATAAGCACAGTGGTTCCTTCTGGCCTTGGCCTCTATTAAACTATGTCAGTAATCAATTGTAACTCAGTGCTGTAGCCTGATAAATTCTTGAGAATCCTGCACCTGAGTCATATCTTGGCATGGAGAAGAGGAGGGTACAACACACTTTTCTTCACTGCATTTCCATACTCAGTATTTTTATTTTAAAAGCTGGGCAAGTACTACGGCAGAAATGTATAACAATGTGTTTTTTGTTACTATGAGTGTCATCAATGCTATTTCGCATGTTAGAAGAGTGGGCCTCTCTCAAGGTTATACCATTTAGTATAAACAGGCACTTATTTCCTATGTAAAGGACTACCATGGGAAAAAGTTGTAATATTTTGAAGTGAATTACAACAGTTAATGTCAGTTTATTTTGCATTTATTCTACTAGCAGAAATATTTCCAACTCAATTCAGAAGAACTGAGCTGAAACTGTCCAGAAGTTTATACCTCTTCAGTATGAAATGGACCTGTACTGAAATTAACCGCTCCTCCATTTTCAAATCCAGGTTTTTAAATTAGGCATCTAAAAACATATTAAGAAATCTAAATAAAATTGCTATCATTTTCACCCGTACCAAGTGACACAGGCAAACGAATTCAATGGAAGCTGCAAGTGGTAAGCATCTCTAAAAATCAAGTACCTATGATGTCTAAATGTTTAAATTCCTAATTTTAACTGCGCCACTTTCAAAATTATAACCTATCACTTCAGTATCTGTAACTGAATATAGTGATTCTGCTTCGACACATTTCCTGATAGATTAATCTAATCCACTCCCTTAAGGAATCTGGGATGTTATCATTTTAGGGAATTAGATTGTTCTTCAGCAAGGGTAGAATATCCTCCAAGATTTCTCTTTTCCCTTCGAATTCCACCTCCCAACTTTCTCACCAAAAAGACTGTTTTGATGTAACCCAGCCAACACAGGAAAGTCCCTTCACAGCTAAACAGCATCTCACCTTATGCACCACAGAAAAGAAATCACTTAAAGACTTAGACTTCAATTCCCTGCTTTTCCAGATCACCTGACAGTCAGGAAGAGACAACTCTTTCTCCCATCAGCTAGACCAGTGGTTCTCAACTCGTTTCAGTCCACGGACCACCAGGCCAATCAAAAAATTTTCGTGGACCACCTCCAGCACATGTAGCATAGAACAAACAACACAGCAACCGCTCAACACGATGGCAGCAGCTACACTGATGCTCAGAGCCTCAGATGGAAGTTACTGGCAACACAACGCGGTTGCGTCCTAGGTGACGCTATGGATGACGCACTGCGTACTTGTGAACACAGCGTAAAACAGTCTAGCCGTGGTGCCTGCTCACACCGTGTGATTTTGGACAATGTTTCTGTGGACCACCAAAAAAGTCACCATGGACCACCAGTTGAGAACCACCGAGATAGACGAATGTGTTACTTCAAATACAAACACCACAAACCAGAAGCGAACAAAAAAAATTAAAAAGAGAAAGTTCAAGCACAGATCAGGGACAGCGCTCATAAAAGAACCCCGTACCTTCCTCTTTGCGGGCAAGCAAACAGGGGGGCCTGAAGCATTGCCTCTTCACTTCACCTGTGGTTGCCTTCCTCTCCCACACTAGCTGAACCCCTCTCTTCCCCCCCCCCCCCAGCTATTACGCTTTGATCTCCTGCTAGTAAGCCTCTGGCAAAGTACTCAAGACTTTGGGATGTATTTGCAGATGGCAAGCATATTAATCATGCTGGCAAGTAGGCTTACTCATCATCCTAATATATATTAAATAGATTTTTCCAAGCTCTGAACATAATGAATGCCCATATATAATTTAACCAAGAAAACGTTTGAAATAACAGTGTTTTATCACTCCCTCTAATCTGCTAATCCAGATTAGCTGCCAGAAGTAGGAAATAGTGAGGAAACATGCTCAAGTCAGATGAGGAACAATGTTCTAGTTTCTACTACTTCAGGGGGGAGCTCACTATGACCCAGTCTGGCAGAAGAATAAAAGGGAACAAATGAAGTGACTGCTATCTGAATTCCCAGCCCCACTAAAAAGGTCACCCAGAGTTTCACTTTCATTTAAAATCTCCCTTGGCCTCTGCCCTGAAGCTGGAAAAGCTGGAATCCACTGCCATGCTTGTATCTGGGACCCTGTCCTGGTGCAGGAAGCTAGTATTTCAGTGGAATACAGGGCAATCACAGTGACACTTAGAACCTAAGTGGGGACCTAGCTACCCAAAAGTATGGACTTCACTGAGAAAGGGCTGTCATTAGCCATTCCCTCTGATATCGATACAACATAAAACTCCTTGATGCAGAAGAGCTACCTGTGACCATCAAGCACTTAGTATATTACAGTCAGGCTGCTAACAATCCAAAGAGCAAGAGGATATCTTCACTGCAGGTAACCTGGGCTCTTACCCAGGTTTAGCCCAACCCTCCCATCATCAACAAAATACAACCTGTGAGCCATGTCTGGCAGAGCTTTATGTGCGGGCTGGGTTACTGAGTTTAGCATTGAGCTGGGTGGAAGGGATAGAATCGGATATCTGCTTTAACATGAGTTGAAACCTGCCCACTTTGCTATAAGGATGCAGGCAAAAGGCTAACACATTTCAATAACTGGTCCTCCAGCATCCTGCCCACAATTCTCCCTGCAGAACACACACTCTTTGGCAACTGACAATGTCTCAGCAAAAAAAGCCATGGCACATGCCCCCAACACACAGGAACATGTAGAAACAGTGGAGATATAGTAACAGGTGGGGCTTTGCCATAGTGATGCTTGTACCCATACAAAGCTAACCTAGGTGCCAATCACCAAGTTATCTGTGCTGTGAAGCCATTCCCTAACTACCTTTTATTGATAAGGTCACTATCCACTATGAATCTGAGGTACTGCTTGTGACTGCTCAGGGAGAGGAAAGGCTCTCTAAGTTGGGGTTTGCATGAGTGGCGTTTACTACCCAGGTTTGAAATACCCACTGCGGACAAGACCTGACCCTATCAAATGACAGTAAAAGAGGTACAGGTATGCCCAAAAGAGCCTTCACCTCTTCCTTGGAGGCTTCCTAGAAAGAGGCGAGGGGGTTGGTTAAAGCACTTTGAACAAGTCGTCTCTTTGAAATAGGACTAGATCAGAGTACATGAACAAACTTAACACGTCAGCAGGGTGCATACCGATAGCTAGCCTGCTGCAGGCTAGTGTGGGGTAGAGTCCCCACCACAGCTCACCACTGCCTAATTCAGGGGTGGGGAACCTAAGGCCCAAGGGCTGAATGCAGCCCCCAACTTCCTTGGATCCAGCCACCAAGGCTCAGGGCTCCCACTCAGCATTGGGGAACCCACATTGGTTCTTTAAGTCCCTCTCCCCACTGTCCTCCCATGGGGCTGGCGCACACAAAATCTACTAGCCTGGGCCTGCCTAGGCTCTGATGTGAGAGAGGAATGTGGGGAATGTCTCTCCCCTTTTAAGTCACATCACTGAAGGTGGGGTCTTTTCCCCCTTTTTTGCTTCTCACTTGTTTGTAGCCCCCAAATGATTTTTCTGTAGGTCACTGGACCCCAACACAAAAAAGGTCCCCATGCTGACCTAACTGTCGGTATGGACAAGCCAAAGAGACTGACAAAGGAGCTGGGGTGCCAAAAGGCCACGATGCACACAGCAGCCAAATGTAAACAAATCTGACAGGTTTCAACTTGGGAGTTATCCCAACTGGAAACTGAAGCAAAATTACATTCGTAGCCCCAAAGTAGATGCAGAACTGCAGAATAATGGCAGGAAACCTGCTTTTTCAGTTGAGAGGTTCACAGAACTGAAAGCAGATCCACCTCCCACAGGATCAAGGGCTCAAAATGCTATAGGAAGGCAGTTTTCAAAAAAATCTTGCCTGAATCAATAATCCAACAGATCCCAAGGTACTGCAGTTGGGGGTTCTCCACTGAGGACTGTTCTGAATGCTCTAACATCCTCTCCTCCCAGGCCTTCAAAGGGTGTTGACTCTTGGTGTTTTATCTAGTCACAACCAAATGGCACCCCAATGTTGACAATTGACGTTGCCAGCCCAAACCAGAGGCGGCCCATTCTTTTCAGGACCCTTAAGATCCAGGAAGTCCAACCTTACTGGGTTCCAGCTAGAGCGGACATCAGGATCCTTGTCAAAAAAAACCTCTCCTACCATATGGCACCACCGAACTGCCAGACCACCAGACACGCTACTCGCAGCATCTGAAGAACTCTGACTTTAAAATCAGTGGAATACCATCTGGAAGTTCCTCACAGGGCATCTTTAATAGAGGATGGTATTTCAACCTAGAATTCTGCATCAGGCATCGAGGATGGCAGTCACTCCTTTCTGTAATTCTGAGATTGATCAACTACCTCATAAGAGTTGGTTTTTGAGGAGAAAACAGTTGGGGCAGGGTAGAGGAATTCATTATTCCATAAAGAGCCCATTTCCAGTCACACTACATGTACAGCCTTTTGAAAAAAATATTCAGGTTTTTAGAAAGCAAGAGACAGCAGGGAAGAGGCAAACATGCCCTA